GGAGACTAGTTACTCTTCTCAACAACCGAGCAAGTGAATTACATGGTTTGTTCACAAAGGCTGCAGAATGACCCATTCTCCAACGCTTACAATCTTAGTTGGGGGAATCACCCAAATTTGTCCTTGAGCAATCAAAGCAGTCAGTCAAATCAAAGGACAGTGCCAAACCATCAACCAGTGGTGAATCATCAACCATGTGAGCAAAGAATGTCGAAATTGGAGGATATGTTTGGGGAATTCATGCAAGAAACCACAAGTTTTATGAATGAGACACTCAAACTTCAGAAATCAAGGAGTGTCCATTCAAAATTTGGAGGTTCAAGTGGGGCAATTGGTTGAACAATTGACAAAGAGATCTCAAGGTCCTTTGCCAAGCACAATGGTCACAAATCCTAAAGAACAATTAAATGTCATAACATTGAGGAGAGGTATAGTGTTGGAGCAACCTCACAATGAAGAAAAGTTGGAAGAACATGAAGACAAGACTAATGAAGAGGAAAATCTCAAAGCAAAAGGGTGTGCAAGACACTTAGGGGAATTTCAACCAAGCAACTCACCTCACAAGGAACAATTTGAGGAATTTGGTTTAAATGCACACAAGTCAAAATTGGTGTTGGAAGAGACTCCAAACATTGGACTCAACTAATCACCATCTCATCTCAAGTATGCATATACGAATTTGAAGTTCCGAAAAGATGCTTATGAGAATGCCCGAAATTCCAAAGGAAAGACCAAGAGGTGGCAAAGGGAAGTGCAGCACCCCACAAGAATCCACATTGATGAAAGAATGAGGAAGTCGAGCTTTCAACTATAAACAAGCGCTTCTTGAGAGGCAACCCAAGTCTTTTCAATTGTTTTTCATTTCATTGATGTTCGAATTTGTTTAGTTTTCTTATGATTTTGAATTAGTTTTAATTTATGTGTTTTTGGGTGTTTCAGGTGAAGTTTGAAGCTAAGGAAAAGGAAAGAAGCGAAGCACGTCGTATGAAAATGAAGTTGAAAAGTCCTAGACTTCGCCGCGGCGAAGATTGTTCTTCGCGGGGGCGAAGTAACCTGAAAAATGATACAGCTTCTGTATTTTTTCGCCTTGGTGAAGAATTTGTCTTCGCTGCGGTGAAACCTAGGTTTTGATTTATGTTGAACGAAGAACTTCGCCGCGGGGAAGCTTGTTCTTCGCCGCGGCAAAACCTGAGAATTTTTTTAACCCACCTTCATTCTCTCCATTTTTGCGATTTCAAACCCTAGCCTCCAAAGAATTTCATTTTCTCTTCTTCAATTTCTAACCTTTTTTTTCCCAAAAAAAAAAAAAAAAAAAAAAAAAAAAAATTCAGCACCATTCCACTCCTTACCATGTTAAACAATCATGCACCTTTCAATTGCCTTGGTTTAAACCATGTTGAAGAAATTTTTAGCACCCTTAGGTTTTGAAAATTCGGAGCTTTCTTTGTGATTTTTAATGAAATTGGAGCAATTGAAGGTTGGAAAGTTTGGGCTTGGTAAGGTTAAAGTTTTTATGCAATTTATTTGTTCACTTTCAATTGTGGATTTGTTTGTTGAAAATTGCTTGAATTTGTTGATTGTGGATGTTGGTTGAGAATTTGAGAATTGAGTTGATTGTGGAGTGTAGAACTTGTTGATTTTGAGTTAATTTGTGTTGAGAAGTTGGGTTTGTTGTGTTAGTGCTTTTAGCAAATTTGGAGTGTGTTGAAGAGGAAGAATAGAGAAGATTGAAGCCTAAAACACTTTTCTTTTTAGTTTTTGTTTTATTTCTTTATGTGTTGTAAGTAGGAAGTGATGTGATTTCCTAGTTTTAAGCTCTTTATTTGTTTTGATTAGATTTTAGGTTTAGTTCAATAAAGTTGAGATCAGGATGTAATTCTTTCATATTAATCGTGAGAGTATCTAACACATTTGGCACTATAGATTTCCAATTGTTTGACAGATGATGATGATGATGAGGAAGCCAAGGAATGGATGCCAGGATTTTGCACAAAAATCGGCCTTTACGGATTAATCGGGGAGTATCTCGTAACTTTACTTTTGTTTTTTTCTATTCCTTGGAGTGCATGATCTGACTATGGGGACAATGTCATTTTAAGTTTGGGGGTAGGAAAATTTTGAGAATTTGTGTGTTTAGTTTGTTTGTGTGTTTCTTTTTGTTTAAAGTTCTTTGATTGTTATTTGTTTAGTGTTTGTTGTGTTGTTGTTGCCTAGATGAATTGCATAAGTCCATGATGAAACTAGAATTGTTGGGATATTATTCTTGGAAAATGTTAAGCATTGCTTCAAGTTTAGGTTGGTTGACTTGATTTAGCTTAAGGTTTGTTAAGTGGTTCAACCACCATTTTCACTCTTTCAGCATGCTTAGAAACATTTTATGTGGTTAGGTGAAGTCTTGATAATGTTAGTGGACTCTAGAACCTAGTAGAGAAGTGCTTGAGGTAAAATTCTAGGATTAGACATTGTTGAGGAAATGATTTAGGCATTTTTCGGAACGTTTGAGCCTTTCTAGCCGATCCATGAATGAATCTTTCCCTAGTCTCCCATTTGAGCCTTATGAGATTATCATTGCCTTTTTCCTTGTAAAAATAAAAATAAAAATAAAAAAATAAAATAAAATAAAATTGTCCAATCCCTATACCCTAAACACTTTATCATACCCTGTAGGAGAATTATGGACCTAATGTATGACACAAAAGAGCTTTGAGAGGTGTGTGAATAAGTGATGGACCCAAATCTTAAGTTTGGGGTTGCAAAAATGGCACGAAGAACGGGCAAGAGACCTCAATGGTGTTGTAAATATTTGTTAATTTGAAAAAAAAAAAAAAAAAAGAAGAAGAAGAAGAAGAAGAAAATTTTCTTTAGTTCGATTCCAAATCAAAAATAAGAAATGCACAAGTTTGAGGGTTGTAAAAAGGTTGACACTTTGATTGGTGGTTGAAAAAGAAAGTGGAGATTGATGTAACTCTTAGTGTTTGCATAAGGAAAATCGGGTTCTCTTACTTTGTTTATCCTATCCCTTTCCTTGGAGCCCACTACCCGAGCCTAACGTTACAAGCTTGCAAAGACCTTTTGATCCTTAGCCATGTCTAGTCTACATTAGTGGAGAGTAGTTCCACTTAGGCTTATGGAGTCTGCCACCATTTGATAAACTTTATATTTCTGCATAAAATAATCCGGAAAGTTGGAATGTGGACTGAAGTGGGGATCACCTACTCGGGGGGACTAATAGAGAAAGATAGTCGATGCAACTTATAACTTCTTGGAGTGTTGAACATTTTCTAGTAATAATTTTTTAACAACCTTAGAGACTTGCATAAATTCTAGGCAATTCTTGTGTTGAGTTTGAGTCTAATTTTTGTTTGTTCATTTTTAGTTTTATTGTTTTGTGTTTTTGGTTGTTTGTTGCTTTTCTTTCTTTGAGTTTTTATTCCTTTTTGCTCGAGGACGAGCAAATCTTAAGTTTGGGGGTATTTGATAATCATATTTTACACTATGATTTTGCATTGAATTTTGATAGGATTTAGGATACTTTTCATACAATTTGGGCAATAATTGCTACCTAATTCTATTAATTTGTCTTTGCAGGCCTAAACGATGATTTTTAGCATAAATGACAATTTTGAGTGTAAATTGTGTAACTTGAGCTTGGAAACTCGGAATGACCTGAATTTAAAAGTTTTGGAAATCTAAGAAGAAGAGCTATAACTTTCATGTTTTGGGTTTTTCCTAATTCTGACTGGACAAGGGTGAAAACGTGGCTTGAAGTCGTGAAAAGTATGCTGGGAACTGAAGAAAAAACGTCTTTGGATGTGCTTCATTATTTCTGCCATAACTTGAGCTGTAGACCTCGGATGGTGCTGATTCTTGAACGATCCGAAAGTTAATTGAAAGGGTTAAAATTCATATGTTTAACATGTTTCCATATTCAGACTCTATCAGGCTCAAATTTGGCCCGAAAATATTCACTGTGGCGAGGAAAAATCTTCGCCGCTACGAAACCTGCATCAGATGTAAAAACAAAACGACACGTTTTGGCTTGCTAGGGTTTCATCCTTAAGTGAGAGAGGTATAAATTGGAGCAAAAAGGAAGAGAAAAGGAGTCTTGGTTCGTCATTTAGGAGGCAGCTCATGGAAGGAGAAGATTATTGAAGATTTGGGCTTCAAATTAAAGAAGATTTCTCCATCTTTTGCTTGTTTTTCAATGATGAATCTTGATTCAGTTTGTTTTTGTTATTTTATTTCGTTTTTGAGTATGAACTGAGTTGTTTAGCTAGGGTTTGATGTAACCTTGATACAATGATTCAAATTTATATGAATTGATTTACTTTGAGTTTTAATTTCACGATTGAGTGTTTATCTCTTTGCTTAATGACTTTTGGATGCTTGATCACCATTCAAATGTGTGTTGTTCACAATGAAACTGAGAAGTGATTTGTGATTGTGCCTCTTGGGATAAATACTGTAGATTAAGCAAATGCTTTAGCGATCTATGAAATCTAGATAGAATTCCATAAAGCTTAAAAGACTTTGAACTATTAATCTTCAATTTGTTGGGTGCGGAAGCTTAATAGGGATAAGTAGGGAAATGTAGACTGAGAAGGTATGTTTTACAACTTAGGGAATTCGATTTTCAATCAAGGAATTAGAACTTGGGTAATAGATTCTATGATTTGGGTTAGCGTATCTAGGTGAAATCAACACCCTAGCATTTTTTAGCATTGTTTAATTAGTTAAGTTGTTGGGTTTTGCTTTAATTTCATTATCATTCATTTATATTTTGTTAATTTGTATTTAGTTGTTAATTTTCCATCAATCCAATTTATTGTTGCTTTAATTAGGACTTAAACTAGGGAAATCGGTACTTAGTAACACTATCCTCGTGGGAACAATACTCAACTTATTACTTTATTACTTTATACGACTAGTATATTTGTTACATTTGCATGCTGTCGGAAACACGCACTAACGTAGAGGCAGTGATAAGGTGCATACCAAGAATGCCGATCCCTACCAAAAAGAGCAAGCCTCACTGCTATGCCGATTCGCCCTTCATGGATGCGATCACGCTAGCCGACATGCCCTACAAATTCACTATCCCTAGCATGAAGCCTTATGACGGCACAACCGACCCAGATGATCACATAGCCTCGTACAAGCAGCAAATATTCACCGTCTTGATACCTCGAATGCTAAGGGAAGCCTGCATGTGTAAGAGTTTCTGTTCAAGCTTATCTGGTCCAGCTCTTCAGTGGTACACCAACCTCCCAAACGGTTCTATCGACTCATTTGCACAGCTCACCGACATCTTTGTGGAGCATTTCGCCAGCAGCAAGAAACTTGAGAAACTATCAACCGACCTGTATAGAGTATACCAGAGAAGGGGGGAGCCGCTGAGAGAGTACATTAGCAGATTCAACAAAGAAAAAATTTACATCGCTTCTTGTAACCCCGAGACAACCGTAGACGCCTTCAAGAAGGGTCTCCTCCCGGATGGTAAATTGTGCAAAGAACTGACGAAGCTCGATTGCACCACGATGGAAGACGCCTTGGCGAGAGCAGTGATTCAAATAAGGTGGGAGGAAGATGAGATGAATTGGGTAAGTCATGCTAGGTATGACTCGAGGCGGAATGATAAAAGGCCAAAGTTTAGATCGATTGAACCCCATCACAAACCCTCTCCACGTAACCTAAACAAAATCAGAAAATCATATGACTGCTAGCTACCTAGAATCGACAACAGACCAACCGGACCGATTCGATACAAAATCCCAGAATAGAACCTCAACGTCGAACCAGCTCAGGTTGTGGCGATCATGAAAGGAATGAGATCTAGCGTTAAGTGGCCAGGCAAGCTCAATGCCAAAGCAAGGAGAGACACGACCAAGTGGTGCGAATTCCACAGCGACCATGGACATAACACCGCAGACTGCATTACCCTACGGTTGGAGGTCACTACACTATTGAAGAGGGGACATCTCTAAGACCTGTTGACAGATAAAGGGAAGAACACCATCAACCAGAAAAGCATGAAAGAAACATCTCCACCTCCGCGAGAACCTATGCTAAAAGGATTTTGTTCACTCATCTCCGGAGGGTCAGAGATTAGTGAGGTCAGTTACTCCTCAGCCAAATGCTACCCCAAAGCCAATAGCCACCTTGAAATCCAATCCATTCATTCGCCTTCTCGGTCACACTCCCACTAGGTAATTCAGTTCGAAGATGACGAGCCAGTCACTCTGGCCGCCCTACATCACGATGCTCTTGTCATCTCCCTCCAGATCGCCAACATCCTGGTCAAGAGGGTATTCATAGACGGGGGATCCTCAGCAAACATTCTTTTCCTTGAAGCAGTGAAGGCTATGGGTCAGGAAGAAACAAACATCAACAGGCGACCGACCTTACTGGTCGGGTTCAGTTCCAATAAAAAATATACCATCGGAGAGATTGTCCTTGCTGTCTATGCCAGCGGAGTAAACAAGCATACCGTTTTTCTAGTGATCGACTGTCCTTCACCATACAACGTCATCTTAGGCCGACCTTGGATCCATAACATATGAGCTGTTCCATCCACCTTCCACCAAACGATCAGGTTTCCTACCAAATGAGGAGTACAGGAAATCAAGAGCTACCCTAAGGCTTCCAAAGACTGTTACAAGAACACCTTCAAAAGCAAAGGTAATGCTTCATAGAAATTACAGTCCCATCCAACCCCTCCGACCGAGCCATATCAACCATCTATGGAAGAGTTGGATGAAATGTAGATACACCCAGAAGACCCCAAAAGAAAGACCCATGTAGGTTCGCCTTAGGCTCGAGACAAGAGAGAGACTCATAGAATTCCTCAGACAAAACCAGGACTGTTTCGCCTGGTCCCATGGTGACATGACAGAAGTCAGCCTAGAGGCAATGGTCCACCACCTCAAAGTAGATCCAGATCACCCGCCAGTAAAGCAGAGGAGAAGGAAGTTTGCACTAGGGCGCAACTGGATTGTCAACAAAGAAATTGAAAAGTTATGGAGTAATGGTATGATCAGAGAGGTCCACTACCCCGAATGGCTAGCAAACGTCATGGTCGTAAAGAAAAAGAATGGAAAGTGGAGGGTCTGTATTGATTTCACGGACTTAAACAAAGCATGCCCAAAGGACTCTTTCCCATTCCCACATAACGACATGATGGTCAATACGCCCGAAGGCCACAAGCTCCTAAGTTTCATGGATGTTTTCTCAGGGTACAACTAGATTTTGATGCACCTTAACGACCAGGAGAAGGCAGCCTTTATCACAGAGAGGGGAACCTACTACTACAAGGTGATGCCTTTGGTCTCAAGAACGATGGGGCTACCTATCAGTGGCTAGTCAACAGAATGTTTGCCGAACACCTTAGGGACACAATGGAGGTTTACATCGACAAAATGCTCGTCAAGTCCCTGATAGCCAAGCAACACCTCGACCACCTCAGCCAGGCGTTCGCCGTCCTAAAGAAGTATAACATGAAGCTGAATCCAACCAAATGCTCGTTCAGTGTTTCGTCAGGTAAATTCTTAGGATACATGGTAACTCAACGAGGGATATAAGCCAACCCCGACCAGATCAGATTGATCCTCAATATACTATCACCAACCTGCATCAAAGACATCCAACACCTCACAAGACGAGTAGCCACGTTGAGCATCTTCATCTCTAGATCCACTGACAAGTGTCACCTCTTCTTCCACACACTCAAGAAATCTAAGAAGTTCGAGTGGACCCTTTCCTACGAGGAAGCCTTGCAACAATTGAAGAGATACATGACCTCCCCTCCGCTCCTTTCCAAGCTTGTGGATGGGAAGAAGCTTTGCACCTATCTGGCGATCTCAAAAACAACAATCTCATCAGTGTTAGTTCGAGAAGATGATACGAAGCAGCTACCGGTTTACTATGTAAGCAAGTCACTCCTCGATGCAGAAACACGATATAGTCAGCTGGAGAAACTGGCCCTCGCCCTCATCCATGCATCCAGGAAGCTCAGGCCATACTTTCAGTGCCACTCCATAGTCGTAATCACCTCTTTTCCACTCAAGAAGATACTGCACAAGCCAAAACTATCAGGCTGACTCATGCCATGGACAGTAGAGCTTAGTGAGTTCAACATATCTTTCCAGCCATGTACTGTCATCAAGTCCCAAGCACTGGTAGACTTCATCATTTATTTCACCCCGAGCACTACCAGCCAAGCAGAAAGAGAGTTATTATGTATGAACAATGAGTCACCATCTAAGTGGACTCTCTCAATGGATGGTTCAAGCAATGTGAATGGAAGTAGGCTCGGGCTAGTACTAACTATACTAGAGGGAGATGTCATCCAGCGGGCCATACGATGTGGTTTCAAGTGCATGAACAACGAAGCTGAATATGAGGCTCTCATCACTGGACTCTCCCTAGCCAAAGCAATCGGAGTAAGGAGGCTGGAGGTAAAGTCCGACTCCCAACTCGTGGTCAACCAGCTATAAGGCACTCACCAAGCATGCGACTCGAAGATGACGGCCTACTTGAACTTGGTCAAAGAGCTGCATATCAAATTCGAAGAATTCTCCATCGCCCAAGTCCCAAGAACGGAGAACTCTCATGCTGACGCCCTTGCTAACCTCGGCTCAGCCCTTCAATGTTCTTCCCAGTCATCCATCCCTCTGTTATTCCTACAATGGCCAACCAACTAGAAGGAAAAACTAGCAAACAAGTCGCCCGAAGAAGTAATGGACATCGAACTAGCTGACTGCTGGATGACCCCAATAATGTAGTACTTGGAACACAACGAGCTCTCGGTTGACAAAAATGAAGCATGCCACCTACAAGCAAGAGCCGCTAGGTTCACCATATATGAGGGTCAACTCCTTAGGAAATCATTCTCCGGTCCCTACCTCAAGTACACAGGCCTGGAAGAGGCCAAATGTGTTCTAGCCAAACTCCATGAAGGCAAGTGTGGAAACCATGCAGGAGGACGCAGCCTCGCACACCGGGTGATCACTGCTGGATACTATTGGCCAACCATACGCACTAATTCGGCGGCTTATGTTAAGAAGTGTGAAAGTTGTCAAAGGTTAGCCCATGTCTCACACCTCCCACCCGAGCGACTCCACTCCATTCTTACACCTTGGCCATTCATGAAGTGGGGAATGGATATAGTTGGAAAGCTACTGACCGCACCCAGGCAACAAGTCTTCTTGTTGGCTGTGACTGATTACTGCACTAAATGGATAAAAGCCAAAGCTTTTGCATAAGTCAGAGACCAAGAGGTAAAAGCTTTTATCTGGAAACATGTCATCTGCAGGTTCGAGACACTGAAGCAAATTGTCACCGACAATGGATCCCAATTTATCAGTTCAGGCTTCAGGGATTTCTGTGACATGTGGGGGATTAAGCTAAGCTTTTCTACCCCCCGCAGCCCCCAGTCCAACGGCCTGGCCGAGTCATCAAATAAAACCATCATGCAGACCTTAAAGAAGCGACTACAGAAAGCGAAGGGTGCATGGGAAGATGAGCTACCTGGAGTCCTTTAGTCTTATGGAACTACAGATCTCTCATCCACGGGCGAGACTCCTTTCTCCCTTACATACGGATCTGTAGCAGTTATCCTGGCCAAAGTATCGGCTCCTTCCATCAGACTCCAATGGAAAAATGAGGAAACCAACAACCAGAACCTTTGCCAGAACCTAGACACCGTCGATGAGCTACGCAAGCGGGCGAGCATCCACAACGCAATCTACCAGCAGCAAGCTACCCGACACTACAACCGCAACCTAAAGATCAGAACTTTCAAAGCAGGCGACTGGGTCCTCCGCAAGGTCTTTCAAAATACTAGGGAGATCAACCCTGGCAAACTCGGCCCTACCTAGGAGGGTCCCTACAAGATCACCAAAGAAGCAGGTAAGGGCACCTACCGACTCCAGACTCCCGAAGGCAAAGACATCAGCAACAGTTGGATTACTGTCCACCTCAAATGCTACTACTTTTAGGTGAACTCATTCATTTACATGTTTGTTTTCTTTTTGTTTTTATTTAAAAGGGACGAGTGGGCCTATCCACTCCTTCATAGACAGTCGGCCTGATGACTCGAATTCAATGAAGTATTATTCAGCAATTTTCATCTTCGGTCGGCCCTATCCGATCCATGAGTTTTACACCTTCGAATCGACCTTGCCTGATTCACGATTTTACACCTTCGGATCGGCCCAGCTCGATCCACGGATTTACACTTTTGAATCAGTCCTGCTCAATTCATGGATTTACACCTTTGGATCGTCCCTACTCGATCCATGGATTTACATCTTCAAATCAGCCCTACCCAATCCATGGATTTATACCTTCCGATCGGCCTTGCCCGATTCATGAAGCTACACATTCAGTTGGCTTAGACCAACTGAAGGGTTCTTACACCTCAAAATCGACAAGTCATTGACCCACCCCAATAGAGAGTCCACACGACTCAGCCACTGGGTCACACCAAAATCATAACACAAGCATGCGGTTCAACCCCTAGTGCATCTACGAACAAAGAAGCAATCAACAACTCATTCACCCATAAGGAAAGCATCAAAAACAGAATCACAAGTATAATATAGAAGAAGCCTCAAAAGGCTAAGTTCCAAGTACAATGTGAGGCACACATGCCAGGAAAGGGCATCATAGGCCCCAAAATACATGAGCAAAAACAAAAATAAAGCTAAGTATCATCGGTGTGAGT